CCTGTCTTCCATAGAGCAAATGGCACTTACTCAAAATCAATAATGCTGAAAAAAAGACAAACGAAATTAGGAAATGTTGTGTCAAGAGTGAACAAATTATACTCTGCCTGTATGAATATACGTGAAAACGTAAACAATCTTTTTGAAAATCATGTTAAATGTTGAACAAAACCATGAGACGTCAACTGTTTTAAAACCACAAAGTCCACAATTCACAAACGATAAACATTATTAGTTATTGATGATTGTAAATGCGTGTATCTTTAAAACCATTCTGATGGATCTATAGACCTGGGTAAAAAGTGTTTATCTCGATTCTCGATCTACATTTATCTCGATTCTCGATCTGTTTTTAAACACTGTGAATAAAATTACGCAAAATGTGCATAATTTTGTATGCTAATTAGCACATAATATTCAAAATAATGATAAAATAGTTGCTAGCGCAAATTATTTTAAAATCATTTGTGTACGTACCTTTTTGATGCAAAAAAACCCAAAAAAACCTGACGTCCTAAACACAACGTGAAATTTTGATTTTGGCGTCCTGAAACCTGACGAGACGACGTCGTCAACAAAACAATGCCAAATTTTCGCGCCATATTACGCGATCTTACGTACTCTTGACGTTCCCGTCCTCAATCTAAATCTGTTTACTAACTTACTTATCCAACCTGAATTTTGTTTTAATGACAATATTACTACCTTAACTTTTCACAATTGATATTTTTGGTTACTGTGATTTCTTATGTCTTCATTACCTTAATTATTTCCTTCCAGACCAAAATACAACTTCTTAAAAACCAAAACCTTCAAGTAAAGCCTCGGGTTATTGATAGTAAATAAAGTTTTCAAAACTTATAAAAAATGTTAATTAGTATAACATTTTCCTTTTAGAAATAAGTCTACACAAGTTAGACTGTTACGTCCACAACGTCTCACCAGTAAAAAAAACCAGGAAAAGCTAAGTATTTTGAATGTAAGTTGCAGACTGGTTCAACTGTAGTAAAAGGTGTTTGCTTTAGCCCAGAGAAGAAAGAGACAACTTGATGATCTGATAAAAACTAAGAAGCCCATGAGATTAACAAAGTACCAAATATCAAAGAAATTTGATATTACCAATGTCCTAATCAACAAAGCTTACAATATCAAACCATGCACCAGCCGAATTGATTTTGAACCGATCAACATCGAAAATGCACCTGTCAAATTGTCTGCAGTTTCCACAGTTATGCAAGGCCAGCTTATCAATGTGAAAGCTACGGTTTGCATAAGTAAGTGACTCCAAAGTTATATCAACAATGGCTGGTGCCATATTAAAAAAACAAGAAGCGGTCCTTGTTGATCCATTTGGCTGCATAAAAGTTATTTTGTGGAAGACGTTTGTTGACTCAATCCAAACTGGCGCAACCTATCTTTTTAAGAATTTATGGTTGAAGAAAGATCACTATATCGATGAGATCTACGTGAATACAGCTATGCATGGTACTGAGATAACACCAGCCCCTGCATTTGACCTTCCCCTTGCTGAAGAATCTGCATCCCACGTTACAGTCTTTTCCCAAACCAAAGTTACCGCAGAAATCATTGGTGTATTGACTCTCAACAACCATTACACTTGCAAAGCCTGCAATAAAAGTGTAGAAGAGAAGGGTCGTTTGGAAAAATGCTCCTCCTGCAAATTACCCCAAAAGCTATCCACTGCTAATTGAAGATGGATTGTAAAGCTGTTCATTCAGATCGTGAATGAAACCACAACACTACACGTTACACTCTACCATTCCATGGTATTGAAGTTGCTAGGCATTTCTAACTCAGATTTGGATCTTGTCACATGCACTGAAGAGAAACTTACTGAAGTTATTTTGGGATGCCCACCTGCTCAAATAAAATAGGACAACAACTCGATAGTGATGGGCGATACTTCGATACCAAGTATTGATACTCATCAATATTTACGATTTGGAGAAAATATCAATACTTACACCAAGTAGTGGCAAATTTCGATACTGAGCCTGCAGTATTTTTGATCAGCGTTTTCTACCAAAATGTACAAAAAATTTCAAACATTTGGAAAGGAAAGTGGAAACATCGTGCTTTTTCAATTATTTTTTGGAATTTTTCTGTCCGACTTGGGTTTTGTGAAGAAACAAAAAACCCTGAAAATGCGAGTACAAGGAAAATGGATCAAGGTAAAATTATTTATTGTGCTCCAGTCTTAAAATTTTAATGTTTTGTTAAATGCTTTCTTAGAATGACAATGTGTTTTCTTGACATGTAAGCAGGTGGTGAAAATTCATATGAAACTACAAGTACAAGTCGTGAAACTGAAGACATTGTTCTTCTTACCAGCAACAAACGTCCAGCTCCCAGAGGAAGAAGTACAGTGTGGACCTTCTTTGAAAAAGTCAAAAACGTAGATGATAAAGCGAGATGTGATATTTGCACCGAGAAATTGAAACACTTGAAAAACACAACCAATCTTTTCAAGGTACTTTGCGGACCACATTAAAGTTTTTCAAAAATATTTCTCAAAAGTAGCTGGACTATTTTCATTTTTGTATGGTCCTTTAATTTCCTTATTTTGTTTGATTTTCAAACTTTCTCTCTCTAGTTATATCTGAGTTATTTGGAGGACGATGTTGAACTCCTATTACTGACCCATAACTCGATGCTAACGATTAACCCTAACTAACTACCTGAATTAAAGGCGCACTATGTGGATGAAGCAGATTACGGAAATGAGCTAAGCATGTTAAGAGATGTAAAGAAGCCTTGTGGAATTGCTAGAATTCATAAAGCCATACCATCAATCAATGAGACATCAGTTTTTTCTGAAGGCACACTAGTGCATTCACCTGCAAGGAAGCAGTTTGCGCATTTAGACTTTGGAGTTTTTGTGAGTCGGCCATCACTGGTTGCCAACAAATGGGAAATGAATTTCAAATCATTCTGCAACATCGACTATATTGCCTTGTTTTGCACTAACATGGTTCTTTGCTCTTTTTTTTTGAAAACATGTTCAAATTTGTCTTTGATATTGTTGTGAATATATCTGGCTCTTTGCTCATTACATTTCCCGTGACAAACTCATCAAATTTCTGCTCATCAATTTTGTAGGACTTCAAGAGGTCGCCAGACAATTAAGGTATGGCAATTTTGCTGTTGCTAATTTTGACAAGGTCTTCAAAGTCGCCGTCAAAAAGATTCGTCAGACTTGATGTCTCAATAACACCTGCAACCTCAGTGCTTTTGAATTTTATTTGACTACAGTCAAGTTCTTTTCATGATCTATAAAAAATATGGTGAGATAATACAATATTTACAATCAAACCTTCATACACAAATCAAAATCTAAAGTAAAAGTTAGCTGAAGTTCACAGTACCTTTCATCTTTAAGACCAGTAAGAGCATAACATTCTCTGCTGACCGCTCCTCTCTCTGGTTGAGCTTAAATCCGTTGTTGAACTGTTGATCAATTGAGTGAAAAACCAACAATACCTTACAAATTATTGGTGTTGGTGTTATAATGTCCAGATTTTTTTAGGTCATTAAGTTTAGGTCATTAAATAATGAGTGTGTATGATGATGATTATGATCTTTATTGAGATATGCTTTTTCACATAAAGTGATTTTCAAAAAAAATCTCGAGAGTCCAAAATTACCCAATCATATAACAAGAAATGATAGTTTATATCTATCTATATTTACACTAAAAATAATTTAATCCAATTTTAAAATGTTACGGTTAAAAATAGCAACATTTTCTGATTGCTTAATGTCTCTATTTAGCAAGTTAAAATCGTTTACAGCCTGAAAAGCAGTTCTTTGTTGACCCCATTGCCTTTTAGCAATAGGGACCCTAAGTTTATCCTTATTCCTAGTATTTTTGTGTATGTTGATCTTCTTGCTTTAATAAGTCCATATCGTGATCAACCAAACCATTTAGACATTTATACACGTAGACACCTCCTGTAATGACGTCTCTTTTTTAACGGCACCCACTTAAGTGTAATTAGGGCTTCCGAAGCTGATGAATATAAGGGTTTGTCCAAAATAAAATTTTGTAAAATTTGTAGGCTAGACATTAAGGTTAAATTATGTTTGTCTCCCCAGACTACAGGGTGTGTCAGAAAAAACTAGAAGATTTTAAAATGTTCAGAAAACTATCATTTTATCAAGATATCTCAAAAATATATTTACGTCTAAGTATTTTAGCATCTTCTGGCTTATCTAAGAGTAAAAACTAGCAGAAAAATTAACCTCAAAAAGCAGGAGAACGGTTTGTAAAAGCCTCATTTTTAACTGCTTGTGCAAAGAAAATGAGACGTTGAAAATCCAAGTTCAGTTAAAGAGGTGAAAGTTTGGAATCTTTTGTGCAATGTATCGCAATTTCAAAAAATTTGATAAACATTAGGTCCGCCGAGAAACGTTTCAAAATTGGATTTTTTTCTCTGTTTACTCCGCTCTCTCGTAACTTTTTTCACCGCAAGAATGATTACATGCATGAGTGATGTTTGGAATGACGTACTTAAAGATAACTAACAATGAATACTCTTGTTTTATTGTTTTCATTTAACAAAGAGTGCTCGCAATTACGTCATGTTGTATAAACAACAGTCACATGGCCGAAGCACATGGCATGTTTGTGACACCCACGCAAGAAACAATCCTAGGACGATTTCGATTGGTTCAAAGACTTTGTGGCCCCCACATGTGATTTTTGTAAACTTGTGACGCAAAAGAAAAAACCCAGCCCATTTTACAACTCGGTCTATCGATAGAAAGCTTATATAACACAGATACCAAATATGTAATTTTTATCCTGGCCCAAATTCGTCGTCGAATGTTACAGCTCCTAAAACGCAGACGTCTCCCAGCCTGACATTCGAAATCCAACATAGTATTCTACATCAAACGCACGTTGAAATACGAGCGCTTTTTACACCGAAAAACGGCTTTACTTTCAATGAAACTGGTATTGATAGAAAGCTAATATA